TGTACGACTTAATTGGAAATAAAGGGGTCTAAATGCGATGGGAGTGAAATCAATGGGGAAGGTAATGGCTGCAGTTAATGTGATGGAAGTTTTCATTTCAAACAGCTGGGTTGATTAATATAGGCAGGCTTTAATGACCTGGACTAACTGAGAGAGTTATTGGCGGGAGGGATTAGGGGGAGTAATTGGCGGGAGGGATTGGTGGGAGTCTTAGGCGGGATAGTATTGGGTGGGAGTTATTACCCAGTTGACTGTATGCCTTTTTGTAATATATTTCTATTTTGGATGTTCCGAACTTGGTAAGTTTTCCATTATGTAATTCAAATAAGGGATTTGCCTATTTGCCTAATTGACCAACTCATTCAAATTGACCAATATGGTTATTGTCTTATTTCTCATTTCAGCAATCTAAATTCATTTCCATGTTTCCATTTTTCATAGTTTCCTATTTTCCTATTTTCCATGTGTCATCCAATTTTTCATTATTTTTGGCTATTTTTCCTATTTTGCAATTTCCCAAGTTTCCTTTTGTTCTATTTCCAGTTTTCCAATTTTTCAATGTTGCTATTTTCCCATTATGTAATTAAAAAAAGTTGCCTACTTTGCCTAATTGAGAAAGTAATTAAAATTGTCCAATATGGTAATTGTTTTATTTCCCATTTCCACAATTTGAATTCGTTTCCAATTTCCCTATTTTCCACGTGTCCCTGTTTCCTATTTCCATTTATCCAATTTTCAGTTTTTGTCCAATTATCCAATTGGCTTTTTTCCAATTGCCCTATTTTCTAAGTTTCCTTTTTTTCCTATTTCCAATTTTCCAATTTGCTAACTTTCCTTTTGTTCTATTTCCAATTTTGCTATTTTCAAAGTTGCCTTATTTCCTAATTTCCAATTATCCAGTTATCCAATAGTCCAATTTTCCAATTATCCAATTTTCAATTTTCCAATTTGCGAATTTGCCTATTTTCCAAGTGTCCTTTTTTCCTATTTCCTATTTCGAATTTTCGAATTTTCCTTTTTTTCAATTTTCATGTTTTCAGAGTTTCCTTTTTTTCCTTTTTCCTATTTTCCAAGTTTCCTTTTGTTCAATTTCCAATTTTCCAATTTTCCACTGGTCTTTATTTTCCAATTACCCAATTTTCCAAGTGTCCTTTTTTCCTTTTTCCAATTTTCCAAGTGACTTTTTATCCTATTTCCTAGTTTCCTCTTTCCAATTTTCCTTTTTTCCTATTTCCACTTTTCCAAATTTCCAAGCTTCCATTTTTTTGTATTTCCGATTTTCCAATTTTCCTTTTGTTCTATTTCCAATTTTCTAATTTTCCAAGTTTTCTTATTTCCCATTTTCCAAGTTTCTGTTCTGAAATTCGCAATAAATGCTTAGTTACATAGTCCTATTTTGGGTTGAAATCCACAATTTCCAACTTCCCATTAAGGTTTGCTTTTTTCCGTTTGTCAGCCCATTTTATTGTTGTTAATGTAATGCTCTACTGCTGTAAATTACAGCCAACGAGTTAATGGTGTAGTTTGCAATCTCATCCATTGAATGCACCAACTAAATACCCAATATACTTCATATCAATTCCGACATATAACTCAACCTTCCTATAAATAATTGCAACATAGCCAGCTTCTTCACTGGAAAGGTAATGAGTCTTACTCAAAGGCAAACATTCAATCGCCAGGTGTGAATGGTCCCCAGCAATTCTTCAAGATGTCGAATGTGCAGTTACCCGGGGGACCAGCCATGGCATGTGCCATTCCCATCTCCACCTCCGACTCCCAATCATGATCCCACTTCATCTGGAAGTGAGGCTGAGAGCAATGATCCGCTTGGCAAATTCTCTACCGTCAAGCACGACCTCCAATATTTGTCTAAGAAAACAGATTGGTGGGAGACTAAATGTGATATTCATGGTCAAGTTATGGGAAACTTGGCCAACAAGTTGAACAAAGCATATGCTGGAGAAGTGAAGCAAACTCTAAAAGCAAACAGTCGGAGCAAAGAGTTAGAGTCCTTGAAGTTGAAATTGGAAGAGAGAAAGAAAAATGCCGCCGAAAAATTCACAAAATCTGAAGAATATAACCATGAAATGGTTGAATGTTTCAACAACGGCTTCGAAATGTTCCGAGATTATGCTTCGGTCATCTCACCATACTACAATTGGAGTGAAATTGATGTAGTTGGTGTCTGGCAGGTGCTGAATATGGGTGCTAAGGGAATGGCTCATCATAGCCTCGTGCATGCAGCGAGGAGAAAGCACAAAGACATGGATCTTTTCATGGACCTGTAGTAAGGGTGAGTGCTGCTTCAGTTCATCTCACCCGAGTACATGGATCTTTTGGTGCCTTCGTTTTTCCTTCGCGGAATAGGATTGTTAAGGTTCGGAGGCGATTTGGTTTGCATGTGTCAAATGTAGTCTGTAATGGATGTGTGTGTATTGTATGTAGATTCACTTAATATTGTTGTTATATTGTATGTATATTGCTTAATATTGCCTTTGTATTGTATACATAGTGTATGTATATTGCCACCCTATAGGAAGTATATTGTAATAATATTGCTATAGTATTGTCCTTATATTGCTCTAATATTGCCTCTATAGTGAAGTATATTGGCCTAATATTGCTATTACATCGTATGTCAATGGCATTTGGTCTAATAACAGTCTCCACTTCGTTCAAAGTTATCCTGAATTCAAATATCACGGACACGACAATTGTTATCCATGCTTATATTACCATGAATTGATGTTTACCTTTCAAAGGATAGTTGGAGTTGCACATCGATTCATATTCAAAAGGAAAGTAATTCTCTCCCTCAATGAATCGTCGTTCAAAAGAAGGCAGCTATGAAATATTAGGTACAAAAATGCAAGAGCCACGGTAAATTAATTGGGCACAAACCACATATTACAAAACCAGGATGATTTTTGGCATGCTTGAAAAGAGAAGGGCCAAATACAACAGAAAAGAAAATCCATTCAAGCTTGGACAATGGAATGCACAATAACCCTTTTACATGTCCTTCCAACACCAGTGTTTTGCCTGCTTTAGAGTCACCGGAGGAGACCCAATTGCCATTGTGCAATTCGAGGGGGCAGTCAATTTGGAATGGTGCCATAAACATGTTTTCTTCCCCTGACTTTAACTAAATGAACTTCAGTTTAATTACTTGTAAGCTCCAGCTAGGTCCTTCTATTTTCTCTTCTTCTTCTTCTTCTTCTTCTCATGACTCTTAAGAGGCAGTTTGATGTAAAGAAATCCTAAGATTTCCATGTGATGCACATGCA